CTGGGTGGGAGACTCAGCTGTGAAGGGAGGGGGCGGGCAGGAGCATCTCATAAACCCAAGATTGGAATAACTGAAGTAATGTTTCTTTTACATGGAGCCTCAGCTCTTTGGAACCTCTGCAAACGCTTTAGCCACGTGTTTAACTCCATCCGTAGGAGTAGCCTTGGATCGCAGTGGGAGGGCTCAGGTGCGTACGTGTTCACAGGATGGGTGCTCAGGGAAGTCCCTGACACCAAAGCAAAGTGGATGTGAAGTGCCACTGTCTGGATTTGGGAGCCTGCCTGCACACCGAACTCAGTAGGTGCTCGGTGCATGACTGCAAGGCTCTGGGCTAGGCAGCAGTTCTGCGGAAAAGGACCTAGGGGTGACAGTGGACGAGAAGCTGGATATGAGTCAGCAGTGTGCCCTTGTTGCCAAGAAGGCCAATGGCATTTTGGGATGTATAAGTAGGGGCATAGCGAGCAGATCGAGGGACGTGATCGTTCCCCTCTATTCGACATTGGTGAGGCCTCATCTGGAGTACTGTGTCCAGTTTTGGGCCCCACACTTCAAGAAGGATGTGGATAAATTGGAGAGAGTCCAGCGAAGGGCAACAAAAATGATTAGGGGTCTGGAACATATGAGTTATGAGGAGAGGCTGAGGGAGCTGGGATTGTTTAGCCTGCAGAAGAGAAGAATGAGGGGGGATTTGATAGCTGCTTTCAACTACCTGAAAGGGGGTTCCAAAGAGGATGGCTCTAGACTGTTCTCAATGGTATCAGATGACAGAACGAGGAGTAATGGTCTCAAGTTACAGTGGGGGAGGTTTAGATTGGATATTAGGAAAAACTTTTTCACTATGAGGGTGGTGAAACACTGGAATGCGTTACCTAGGGAGGTGGTAGAATCTCCTTCCTTAGAGGTTTTTAAGGTCAGGCTTGACAAAGCCCTGGCTGGGATGATTTAACTGGGAATTGGTCCTGCTTTGAGCAGGGGGTTGGACTAGATGACCTTCTGGGGTCCCTTCCAACCCTTATATTCTATGATTCTATGATTCTATGATTCTATGGGCTGGGGAAATCAACCCTGGGTGGTTATTTTGAGTAGAAAACCAGAGCTACTTCTGGGGTCTTTCAGCTTCTAATGCCCTTTCCCTTCTGCAGCTGGATTTCAGCCTATGGTAAAATCCCTCTCAATGCCAAGTCAGTGCCATAAATCACCGGACTGGGTACAGGAATCCGTAGGTGAAGTTCTCTGGCCTGGGTTATGCCAGGGCTCAGACTAAATTATTCTTCCCAAAACTTTTAAAAGCTGAGCCCCCTCCTCAAGGCAAAGAAACCAATCATGCCCCTCACCCATCAGCAATATGTTAGCGACCCCACCCCCCATTTTCATGTATACATCTTCAGACCCCACCCTTCCCACCATGGTTAGCCCTTCCCCATGCTTCAGGAGATGCTGGAGTAGATGATCCTAACCGTCCCCTCTAACCTTAAGACCTGAGGGACCCCATCTTGGAGCATCTTAAAAATCACAGTTCCTAGACTCTGGAACAGGGGCTGCTTTGCCGGGCTCACCTTTCTCCCTCCGTCAGGTTGGCCGATGGGGATAATGAGCCTGGAGATCTCATTCCCGCTGCTCTGAGTGGCGACCATGTGCACACGACCCAACTCAGCTCTTCCTGTATCCCAGGAACGTCTTCATCTTCTGGGATCCTCATGGCAGCAGTGGGATGATTTAATGGAGTCCCTTAGTCATGGGGCCTTTCTCTCTCTTTTGTTTCAGATCCAGCGTCCTGGAACTGTCTCATGGTGCTTGGAGTGGTGGCAGTGGTGGGGGTGCTAGTCTTACTATACGAATGTGGGTTTTGGAAAGGTAGAGGGAAAGTATTTGCCTACCTGCGACTTGTCTTCAGGAAACAGCTGACTCATCCCTCCCAGCAGCCTGGATGTCTGCAGGATTCACAGGAATCTGAGCTCCCTGCAGTGTGTGACAGGGATGGGGACCAGGCCCAGGGAACCAGAAAGAGGAATCAAGACCCAGCCCTGGAGAATGGGGAAGGAGACCTGCTAATGGAGGACAGACGCTTCACCCAGGAACCCAGAGAAAGGGCTCCATTAGGTGGGGACACGGGTGTGGCCCAGGAAACTGGAGTAGCATTGCCAATCCTCCAGAATGACCGGGAGTCTGCAGGAATTAAAGATTAATTTTGAATTAAAGGTTATGTCATGTGATAAAATCTTCAGGAATAGGTCCAATTACAATTGACAACCCTAAACCAGAGTGTGGGGAGGGACCCATTAAATGGAGACAGACTTGGGCTGGGGAACCAGCTAAAAGAGCTGATCCCTCCTATGATGCCCCTCAATGGTGGGGACTAGACTGGGCGAAACTTTTCATCTAAACCTATTTGAGGTGAAAAATGCAGATTCAGCAGTTTGCGAATTCGTATCCAGTCTGCTGAATTGTTCATGTCCAGCCCCTCCCCCAGTTCTTAACAAGTCGAAGCATTTCGTTTAGACACTTTCCAAACAAACCATTTTGATTTTTCAGCTTGAAACAATTTTTTGTTTAAAAATGTCCTTTACTTTTATTTTAAAAATTCAAAAAGTTACAACCCTTGAAATGTTCCTGGGTCATTTTTTTAAAGCTTTTTGGTTCATCAAAATTTTGGAAAAATTTTAGTTTTGTTCAGCCTGAAATCATTTTTTTTCCATCTCTTTTTTGGCATTGTCAGCGACCAAAAAATTCTGTTTGCCCAGCTCCAGGGGCGGGTGGGGATTTTGGCGGTTATATTGTGGGTTTCTGAGTCTCCTTGTTGCTCAAAGTTTTCTTACTGAAACAAATTAATTTAGGATGAAGGCAGGATGGGCAAAAGCTTCCTAAAAGTGTGTGGGGGGGCTGCTGGCACCCAACCTGTGGCCCAGCCCCTGTGCCACCCCTTCTCCTCGAGGTCCGGCCCCTTCAAACCGCCCCTTTCCCTGGGGACCCCCGTCACGCCGCCTTTCTCTCTGAGCTCCCACTTCACGCCGCCCCTTACCCCCAAACAACCCCCTCCGCTCCCTTCTCTCCCCCATCATCCAGTCGCTCACACTTATGGCCAGTAAAAAGTGGTGGGCCCTGGTCTCCCCTGTTCCGGCACCCCTGGATGAGGGTGGGAGAGGATGAAGAACTCCTTTCAAATATAACTCCGCCCCACCTCAAAAAAACACAATTTGCCAGCAACAGCAAAACATGCACCTAACCAACCCGTGCCAGTCAGGCTGTGTTGTGTGTGACATTCCCATCCTGGGGCGGTTTATGTCTTTGAAAATGTGAACCCTGCAGGCCTGGGTGTTTCTCTGCGTAATGTGACCTCAGTGCACCTGATGAGAGCCGTTGTTTGTAAATGTTTCAGTAGCAGACATATTTATCATTCATGGACATACAGACATTTATTCATAATTAGAACTGGTCAAAAATAGTGAGGGTGGAGAGGTTCATGAAAATTGAAGAAGAAACCACTCCCCCGCCCCATGTTCTTCAAACTTATTTGCAAATGTTTTTAATGATCAAATTTGTGTTTAGTTTTGGTGGGAAAAACTCCACGTTCTCTCTCAAGTGGGCAGAGAAATCCAAAATGTTTTTTTTAAAAAGGGAACTTTTTTCAAATGATCAATGTAATCCAAAGTGGCATTTTTAGTTCAAAGGTTGCATTGTCAGTGTAAAACCATTTTGAACCATCTCCATTGCTGTATAACAAGATGAGTTTATTTTTCGTGCTGCATTGTTTGGGCCAAGTTCCAAGTGGCATTTCCGTTTTTGCACAGCTCTTCTCTTCTTGCGTCTGCACCTCTCATAAACTGTGGCCTTAATCTTGGCCCTGGAAATACTTATGTGCATGTTTTACTTTAATGACTGCTGTGAATAATTCCATTTCAATGGGACAACTCTGAGGTCGGGTTTACACTATGGCCCTATATCGGTGTAACAACATCATTTATTTAATTTTCTTTCTTTTATATGTGAAAGTTCTTGAGAGGTTAAAGCAGGTAAAATCCATGAACAGGTTGGGACAGTCCAAGTTTGTCAGTGCAAAGTGACAGCAGAGATGTGGTATCTGCTAGTTTTCCAGAAGTCTCTCAGGGTTACCCAGGATAACTTTGGGGATCTCTGTCTCAGCGGATGGTCCAGCTTTGCTCTTTCGCTTCCATTCTTCACCTCTTTGAGTGGCTGCATTTGCAGCTGAGCAGCCTGATGGAAACACTGAGTCCTCTGACTCAGCAGGCAGGCCCAGCCGCGAAAGCCAAAGACTCCCTGAGAACAGGGGGAGGTTCGCCTGAACTCTCAGGAGTGGAGGCTTGGCCCATAGGGTAGGGTTACCATATTTGAACTTTCAAAAAAGAGGACACTCCGGGGCAGGGGGAGAGTGGTAGCCCTGCCCCGTCTACTCCCTCCCACTTCCTGCCCCCTGACTGCCCCCCACAGAACTCCCTCCCACATCCAACCCCCTGCTCCTTGTCCCCTGATCACCCCTCCCAGGACCCTGCCCTCTATCTAAGCCTTCCTTCTCCCTGTCTCCAACTGCCCCCTCCTTAGACCCCTCCACCCTAACTGCCCCCTAGAACTCCACCCCCTACCTGTCCCCTGACTGCCCCACCCCCTATCCGCACCCCCGACCCCTGACAGACCCCCGGGTCTCCCACACATATCCAACCACTCCCTGTCCCCTGACTGCCCCTGCAGAGCCTCCGACCAATTTAATTCAATCAGCTCCCTGCCCCTGACTTCCCCCCCGAACCTCTGCCCCATCCAACCCCCCCCTGCTCCCTGTCCCTTGACTCCCCCGACCTCTCTCCATATGCCCACCCCCTGACAGACTCCCCCCAGAACCCCTGACCCATCCAACCCCTCCTGCTCCCTGTCCCCTGATTGTGCCTTGGGACCCCATGCCCCTTCTCCAGCCCCCCAGCCCCCGTACCCTGCTGCTCAGAGCACTGTGTCTGGGGTGCGGAGCCAGACACAGTGCCACGCTCCTCCCCTGCCCCCAGAGTGCTGCATTGGGAGGGAAATCCTGGACCTTTTGAGACTTTTACAAATTCCTCCCGGAGGCCAATTTAAAACCCAAAAAGGCGGACATGTCCGGGAAAATCCGGACGCATGGTAACCCTACCACAGGGACTCCAGGATCTGCAGCTGCTGCCACCTGTATGGTGAATCCTCCAACTCATCACCAAACAGCTCTTCCCCATTCTGCAACCTGGCCCCATGGTCTGACCGTGCAGGAGAACAGAAACCCTTTGGGACAGCAGGAGAGTCTCCTCAATGCCGCACTCTTTGCATGGCTTCCCGCGGTCACCGTGAAACACGACTACCCTGCCCTCAGGAGTCTCTCAAAGAGCTGCCGGTGCAGTCACTGGGCACCCACTCGTAATGGTCTCGGGCAGTGGCATTGCAGAGGGAGCTGAGCAGATCGTCCCTTCTGTGATTTCCTGAATTACTGCCAGGACGGATTCTCCTCTGCGTTAGGGAGAGTCCCAGAGGAAAAGCAGCTGTGGTGGGGGAGGGGGCAAGACAAGCACTCCCCATGAGCCCTTGACTAGCAGGCAAGCAGGACTCTGGGAGCCAAGGGATCGTTGTGTCTTGCTGGGAGAGCAGAGCTGGAGAGCAGAAAAGGGCATTGGAGGAATTGTAGAAAAGTCAGTGTCATGGCCGGGTCATGGGCAGCCAGACCTAGTGGTCAGAGGCAGAGGCCACACTCACAAGACAGGAGTCGAGAGTCAGCTGGGTCAGGACACTGGAAGAGCAGAAGCAAAAGACCAAATTGTGTTCAGAACCTCAAGTCAGATGAGTCACCCCAAGTCCTGATGCCAGGAAATCAAGCCTGGGGAGTGGGAGCAGGAACAGCCAACACACGTTCCAGAGCCAGGGAGGAGCTTGGCTGTTCAGACAGCTTCTTCTTCCTGCTGCTGGTTTTAGGAGGTCCTGGGGGCAGATTAGCTGCTCTGGGACTCTGCCAATAGGAGCCTCAAACTGGGTCTGGACTTCGTCAGTCCTAGCTAAGCAGTTTTTCGTAGGCTTCCAGGTGGCGTGCTGGAGGGTGGCTGCTCCCAGGAACCCTGCAGACCCGGGTTAATGACCCATGGGTCATGACAGTGAGTGATCTCTCCCCACTCAAACCTCCTGCATGAAACAGTCTCCAGGGTCCCGGGTGCATCCTCTGAGAATAAAAAAACACAGTCATGAGGACAAATAGGCTATGGAACAGGAGTCCCCTCTTTGTTGCAACAGCCTCAAGTGCCCAGAAGAGTGGACGGTTCTTACCTCCAGGAGATGCCTGGGATCTTCCATCTAAGCCTCAATGGGACCCATGTTGCTTGGTCTGACAGGAGGAGATCATCTGTCCCCACTGCTCCCTGCGCTGGGCTGGCTGCAGCACACATCTGTGTAAGAGGCTGGGCCAGAGAGATGTTACAGTCAGGGTCCAGGCAGCCCAGAAGGAGAACAGAGGGTCTGAAACCAGAAGGCGAAGCAATCAAATCAGCGGATTCGACAGAGACGTTTTGTACCCTACAGGCACTTCAAAGAAGGTCTGTTAGGAAAGCTGAGATGTTAGTCTGGAAACTGCTAAGGCAAAGAATGTGACTTGTTAAGTTTCAGTTTTAGTCACTACAAAGTGTGTCGTGTTATGTTTCTCTGGTTGAAATTTGTCTCTTTCTTTTGCTTGGCTTCCCAAACCATCTCAGTGTTGTGTGTTTGAGTGAAGTGTGAGTCTCCAGCCTTCCCAACAGGCTGAGCTGTGCCCTGTCTCTCTGAAGGTAGCGAATAATTTCTGAGCGGTGCTGGGCCCAGAGTCCAAGGGCAGTTCACCAGACATCTCATGTGAAGCCCAAAGAGACCAAAGGAGCAGGAGAGATTCAGGCCCCACTGACCCCCACAGAAGAGGCTACACAGGGCTCCAGACACAGCCAGTTTGGGTGTGTACCAGAGTTCACTCACCGCGAGATGCTGGCCAGGCCTCGTGTCACCGCTTTCTAGCTGGGCTAGCAACCCCGCTAATACTCACTCTTGCAGTTTCTTGGCTGGGAACTCAGCCCTCCAACCAGGTGACTGGCCTTTACTCCACTCCTTCCTGGGTCGTGCTCCTTGCAAACAAAGTCCAAAAATGTCTTGAACAGAAACAAGGCCTTCCACCCTCGTGGGGAGTTCTTCCTCAGCCTGATTTTGGTTCGGCCTGCCCTTCTTGGGTTTCTAGGGTCTTCTCTGTCCCCTTCCTTAGGGACAGTGAGAAACCCATATGCCCAAAGAAGTCAATGGCTCTTACCTCCATGAGGGAGCGGGGTCTTCCCTCTCAACCTCTTTGAGAACTATCACTGCTTTGTGTCCTAGGACAAGGGACCTGTCCCCACTGCTCCCTGAGGTGGTTCAGCTTCTGACTGCACCCATCTGGGAGGCTGTCACACACCCCAGGGCCTAGAACACACAGGGGGAGGAGGCTCCTCTTCATGTCAGACTCGGAGAGCCCAGAGAAGGGCCAAAAGAAGAATAAAGGGCAGGAGATGAAGCAAGCCCTGAGCCTCTGTCCCATCCTCACCTCCTCAAATGTGGAGCTTCCTGAGCTTCAGTTGGGCAGACAGTCTGTAGCCCTGACCCAAAGGTCCTTCTGCGCCATATGGGGCAGGAAGATCTCTGCCTGGGAGCACGGGGAATGGGATGGGGGTGAGATCAAGGAAAGAGGGGAGGGATATGGGTGTGAGGGAAAGAGCTCCTGCCCCACATGAAGGAATTTGGGTGGCCGAGGGAAGGACCCAGCTCCACAGAGAGGGGAGAGAGTTTCTGTGAGTGCCAGGGGCCTCCATTTCTGCTTTCACTAGCCCCCCATTTACAGTGAGACAGAGCAGTACCTGCAGCAGGGAGCGGGACTTGCTGAACAGGGAGGGGAATCTTTAAGAGCATCAGATGAGCCACAGCCCTTGCAACGCCTCGGGCATCTGGTGCAAGTGCCGGATGATGTGAAGCTCGCACATGACCTTGGCTGTGACATCCTCGTGCTGCAGGGGAACGAGAACAAGTCAGAGACCGAGATGCTCCCCAGGAATCAGGGAGGAGTAAGGGCACCTGGAACCAGCACCATCATTTCCACCCAGCACCTGCTCATATCTGAGTGGTAGATTCACTCTCCTGACCCCCAGGATGGAGGCTTGCTGTCCTCTCTAGTGACCTCCAGTGTCAACCCCCCCATCAGTGCCCCTGACAGCTGTTCCACCTCCAACCCACCTGGGGATACCGCTCAAGTTCCTAGAACCCTCTCCTCCACCCCTACCTCCATCCCCACCCAGGTAGGGCAGGGAGGGGGTTCTAGCAGGGTGGTGGGGGGCGGGAGGGATTCTCGTAGCAGTGAAGTGGGATGGGGAGAGCTTGAGACCTTTCCCCAAGTCACTCCAATGACAAAAGCTGAAGCCACAGGATGGCAGCCCTGGGGAACGGGGCAGGTCAGCAGCCCCTGCTGACTGAATCCTCCCAATCTCTCGAGAGCGGGTCCAGCCCTACCAGCAGCGAGATCAGCTTCCCACGCCCATGTGCCTCAGCCCTTCTGGTCAGTCGCCATCACCAGTCAGTCCTCGGCCTCCCAGGCTGCCAGGGATGGGAGCAACTCTCGATGGTGGCTCGGGTGACATGGACACTAGGCCATGGGAAAATGGGGGTAGCTCTGTGGGGCAGGAAAGGTTCCCAGAGGGCACTTAGGGGACTCTCCTGTCCTTCCCAGGAGTGATAGCAGAGCACCACATCCTAAGAAGAGAAGTCCATGAGGTCCAGAAGTCCCCACTAGGCTCCTTGCTACCAGGCCAGTGAATGGCCCTGGGCCCCACCCCAAGCTCCTGAGTCGATTGCAGCTGCTTACCGTCTCCCCATCAGTTGCTGGGCTTCCCCCAGGAGGGAGTAGACGAGCACCAGTCCAGCCTGGCTAACACGTAGCAGGGGGTCATGGATGGCCAGCACTGCTGTCTGTAGGAAGGATCTTCTCTGTCCGACGGAGAAGAATTTTCCAAAGACCTAAAACCAAGAGGACACGAGGCTCGAGCAGATTGCCCAGAGCCAGCCTCCAAGTCCTGGCGGTACAATGGCCTCTAGTGCCCCAAAGGGTGGGGAAGAGAGCTGCTGTGGCCAAGGCACTTCATTCCCCAGGAAGCTTTCAGGGTCCCAGGGCTCAGGGAAGTCCCTTTATTAAAAGGTCGCAGATGCTGAGAGACCAAAGCCTCCAGTGGCTCTTTCAAGAAGGCAATTTTTGGCAGGGGCCAGGATGGGCTGGAAATGGATCTCTTATGACTGTGAGCAGGCCCACTCTGCTGTGCAGGGCACAGAGACCACAGGGGACCCTGTGTTGCTTCCAGCAGAGAGATCTCCTGCACCTCAGCGGCTAGAGGAGTTTGCGTGTGTTGTTGTGGTTTGCGGGGGAGGGGGGAGGGGTTGGGGTTGGAGCTGGCAGACCAAAGGTCTCTTCCTCCAGCTAAGTGATTTCTCTAGTTGCTGGGTATGGTCTCTGCAGCTCCTTGGTTTCTTCAAGGGGAATCCAACTTGCAGCCTGACAAGGACAAGGAGACGCATGGCCCAGTCCCCATCACAGACAATCCTCGGAGACTTTTCTTCCGCTGCAGCAATTCAGCTTGTGGGAGGCGGGACAAGCTCACACAGTCTCTCTCACGGGGCGTCTATGGAGCAGTGTTCTGTGGATGCCCTTGTCGATCCAGGAGCCATTCCAAGGCCTCCCCTGTGATGTTGTGGAAATCACCCATTTCACCTTTGACTCCAGTCTGGGGGCACTGTGTTACGGTGTGTTCGAAGGTTTGGATATTCTCACCACAGTTGTGAGACGGGGGTGGGGCGGGGTGTCTTTGATTTTCTACTTGTGCAGCAAGTAGCCGCAACTTGGGTCAGTGACAATGTGCTTCTTTGGAACAGTGGCTGAGGTCCAGATACTCTGCCATTCCCTGGCCAGGTCTGGAGACATGAGGGGGGTGCATGTGGTCCATATTGGCTCTGGAGCTCACTATGTCCCCTACCCAGTTCCCAGGTTGAGGGATTCTGCTTCCTGACCGGCAATGGAATTGGGCAAACCCCACCTCCTTTCTCAGCTTCTACAGGGTGCAGGGAATTAAAGAAGGGTCTGATCAAGCAATTGTGACTGACTGACCCAGTGCTCTTCTCTCAGACACTTGGGGATCAGCCACGGGGACAAGGATCAGAGAGACACCCAGAGCCATAATCCTATCTTATCTCACCCACGGGGGATTCTCCTCAAATCACGGCAACTAGCGAGGTTCCAATGTGGGACCTTTCGCACCAGCCTGTCCCACTGGTTGCTGGGTGAGGAACTCTGAGCTGGAAATAAGGAGTGGGCTCTTTTCCTGTCTCCAGGAGGCATCCACTGCAGGGAACCCAGCCAGCCACACTCCCTGAGCTGTGTCATGCCCTGGCACAGTGCCCTTACCTCCCCCACTCTGGCTGTATTCTTGTAGCCCAAGAGCCTGCTGTCCTGGTGCCAGTCATAGCACCTGAGATCTTCCGCATCATGTATGGTCAGACCTAGAAGAAAGAGAGAGAGAGAGACTTTTCTCATTCTGGTTGCAGTTTCTGTGTCCTTCCAATCCCATTGGTGGCTGCACAGTGGAGTGGAGAAGAGCAGAGGCAGAGAGAGACTTGTCCTCCAGCTGGGGTCAGTCTGAGAGAAATGGTCTGGGGTCCCATTATCCACCTCTGGTCACTCTTAGTCCCCTATTGGGTTCCGTGTCCCAGCTGGGTTCCTTACCCCTCTGTTGGAGCAGCAGTTGGTAGAGCCGGTAAGTCCCCTCCCTGGCCGGCTGGCTGATGTCCTTGTCTGGCTCGCTGACAAACAGAGCCAGCTGGGCCACACTGTGCCCCATCCTAGGGAACTCGGCTGAGATCTAATGGAAGGGAGAGCAGAGGGGACTCCATCAGCATTTTCCTGTCAGCTTCCTGTCCCCCCTGGGCCAGAGGGCTCCTTCCCCTTAACCCCTCTGCAGGAGATGCTGGGGGAGAGGAGCTTGAGATCGACCCTTCATTTGCTCTGTTGCCAAGGGAGCCCGGAGCTGCTTTGGGATGCCAAGCAGGGGCTGGAGCATGGTCCCCTTAAAGGCCCAGGGACAACACTGAACCAGGACAAGAAGAACTTGACTCAAGCCTAGCTCAGTCCTGCTCTGACTCTGCCTCCCCATGAATCATAGAATCATAGAATATCAGGGTTGGAAGGGACCTCAGGAGGTCATCTAGTCCAACCCCCTGCTCAAAGGAGGACCAATCCCAGTTAAATCATCCCAGCCAGGGCTTTGTCAAGCCTGACCTTGAAAACTTCTAAGGAAGGAGATTCTACCACCTCCCTAGGTAACGCATTCCAGTGTTTCACCACCCTCCTAGTGAAAAAGTTTTTCCTAATATCCAACCTAAACCTCCCCCAGTGCAACTTGAGACCATTACTCCTTGTCCTGTCCTCTTCTACCACTGAGAATAGTTTAGAACCATCCTCTCTGGAACCACCTCTCAGGTAGTTGAAAGCAGCTATCAAATCCCCTCTCATTCTTCTCTTCTGCAGACTAAACAATCCCAGTTATCTCAGCCTCTCCTCATAACTCATGTGTTCCAGACCCCTAATCATTTTTGTTGCCCTTCGCTGGACTCTCTCCAATTTATCCACATCCTTCTTGTAGTGTGGGGCCCAAAACTGGACACAGTACTCCAGATGAGGCCTCACCAATGTCGAATAGAGGGGGACGATCACATCCCTCGATCTGCTGGCTATGCCCCTGCTTATACATCCCAAAATGCCATTGGCCTTCTTGGCAACAAGGGCACACTGCTGACTCATATCCAGCTTCTCGTCCACTGTCACCCCTAGGTCCTTTTCTGCAGAACTGCTGCCTAGCCATTCAGTCCCTAGTCTGTAGCTGTGCATTGGGTTCTTCCATGCTAAGTGCAGGACCCTGCACTTATCCTTATTGAACCTCATCAAATTTCTTTTGGTGCATTTCTCCAATTTGTCTAGGTCCCTCTGTATCCTATCCCTGCCCTCCAGCGTATCTACCACTCCTCCCAGTTTAGTATCACCCGCAAATTTGCTGAGAGTGCAATCCACACCATCCTCCAGATCATTTATGAAGATATTGAACAAAACCGGCCCCAGGACCGACCCCTGGGGCACTCCACTTGACACCGGCTGCCAACTAGACATGGAGCCATTGATCACTACCCGTTGAGCCCGACAATCTAGCCAACTTTCTACCCACCTTATAGTGCATTCATCCAGCCCATACTTCTTTAACTTGCTGACAAGAATACTGTGGGAGACAGTGTCAAAAGCTTTGCTAAAGTCAAGAAACAATACATCCACTGCTTTCCCTTCATCCACAGAACCAGTAATCTCATTATAGAAGGCGATTAGATTAGTCAGGCATGACCTTCCCTTGGTAAATCCATGCTGGCTGTTCCTGATCACTTTCCTCTCCTCTAAGTGCTTCAGGATAGATTCTTTGAGGACCTGCTCCATGATTTTTCCGGGGACTGAGGTGGGGCTGACTGGCCTGTAGTTCCCTGGATCCTCCTTCTTCCCTTTTTTAAAGATTGGCACTACACTAGCCTTTTTCCAGTCACCCGGGAATTCCCCCGTTCGCCACGAGTTTTCAAAGATAATGGCCAATGGCTCTGCAAGCACAGCCGCCAATTCCTTTAGCTCCCTCCACTTCCTGATGCTGCTTGTGTAGGGTGACTCCTACACAAGCAGGATCAGGAAGTGGGACAGTGCCTGTGGGGGGAGACGACCTCGGCTGTTGTGGGACAAACACCCCCATCTTGCGGGTCCCACATCATGGATGTAAAAGGGCCCCATTAGGGGTGGTGGATCATGAGGGACAAGACCCTCGGCAGGGGGTGGGGATGCTGGGAAGGGACAGGGCAATCTTGGTTCCAGCCCAGGTGGGGAACATTTGTACCTTTTCTCTGCACTGGAGCTGCTCTCGGATGACCTTGAGAGCAACTTCATCTTTGGCCATGTCCACCCCTTCCTCCTGCTCCGAATCCAGAGGGATCCCTGCACCAGGAAGGGAAGGAAAGGGACATGGTGGGGAGAGCAGAATTAAAGACCCCCCTTCCCACCTCAGGCACCCAGGGCACATCGGGCCCCAAACCTCCCTCTCAGGGATGCCTTCAGCCCCTAACAGCTTCTGAAGCCCAGAGCAGAGCCCCCCTTCCATTGGCCAGGACTCCAGGGCAGGTGCCTGTTCCCCCAGCCCCAGAGCAGCAAGGACCAAAGTGGCAGCAGCTCTTCATGCCCCCACCCCCAGGTCCCCATGTGGAAGGGGCAGCTGTGTGACTGCTGCTGCTGTCAGTGGGGTTCACATGGCTCAGGCCAGACACCTGGGCTGGGGATTCCCCCATATCACCGGGAGAGCGTCTGGGCCCAGGGTGTTCACATCCCCATCCTCAGCCCTCGCTCAGCCCAGCCTGGCTCCTCACCTGGAACAAAGCAGTGGCCTCCATCGGCCTGGCTGCTGCCAGAGGCCCAGGTGCTGCCGCTGTCCCATGCTGAGCTGCCGGTGCTGGGACAGGGACCTTCCACCTCCTGGCCTGCGGGGGCTGGAAGGTCCTTAGTGAGCGGGCAGGGCGATGCCTCCTGATGGGAATGAGGGCTGGGCTCCTGGGGCCGCTGCTGCCCACACAACAAGCCCCAGAGCCACCCTGCCCGGCACCCCTCCTGGGCTGGGTCCTGTCTGGAAAACCGCAGCCTGGGCCAGCTCCTTTGGGGCCTGGTCAGGGCCTCTCCCAGCTTGGCGCCTGCGCCGGGAGCTGGGTTCCTTTTCCAGAAGGCTGGGCACTTCCGCCATCTGGCCTGGACGGGAGCTGCTTCCCCGCCAGCGGGGACACAGGGGTTGCTCTGTCCGTTGGGAAGATGGCAGTTGCTTCCCTCAGGCTCTGGGGTCATTTGCAGAGCCTTCTTCCTGAATATCCGCAGGAGCCTGGCCATCCTGGAACCGAGCGGGGAGCAGGTGTGAGTCTGGGCTCAAGGCAGCCTTTCAGTCATGGGCCTTTTCTCTCCCTCCTCCTCCCTGCTCCAACCACAGCAGCCCCCTCTGCCGCTACAGGAGTGCTGGG